TGCAGTGGCTCAAGTGGTTAAGACGCTGAACTGCAGGCTGTGGAAGGTCCATAGTTCAGCAGTTCGATACCCGGGTTGCCACATGACGGAGTGAACTCCCGTCTCTAGTTCCAGCTCCTGCCAACCTAGCAGTTCGAAGGCAAGAAATTGCAAGTAGATAAATAGGGACCACTTCGGTGGGAAGGTAACAGCGTTCCGTGAGCCTTGGTGTCTAGTCATGCCGGCCACATGGCCACGGAAACGTCTTCGGACAGCGCTGGCTCTTCGGCTGTGAAACGGAGATGAGCACCGCAACCCTAGAGTCGGACTCGACTGGCTTTCGAGCAAGGGAAACCTTTACCTTTTTACCTCCCCCCCCCTTGGCAATGCGAGGCGATCCTGAAATGCACGGGATGCAGCTCTGTTCCCCGCTGCCAGCCGAAGGGAACAAGAAAAGGGGATTCCGCACGAGATTCTCCCGACACGTCTAGCTTTTTGTCCGACGTGTCGGGAGACACGTCACCAGCTTCATGTGACCCAAAAGCGCATAACTGAAAACCACGCATTTTTGTGGTGAGGCCTGATTAAAATCGTGGCCGCCGCCCCCCCCCAAAACCCCTCCATTGTCCTGAGAATCTTTTTTTTTTTGAACATTTTATTATCAGGATATATCAACATGTCCAATATTCTAGCATTCCATCCTTCACAATGTACCCCTTTTCTTTTTCCCCCTCCCTCCCCTTCAGGCTTCCCGCAGTGGGGTCCCCACACCCACCAATTCTCTCTTTCTTATCCATCCCTTCCTCTAAAACAAAACTTAATCGGTAACAGTTCCTTTCACTACCTTATTCTTATAATCAGCTTCATAGGTAACATTTTCTTTAACTATAATCATCTTCTACTCAACTCTTTCCTCATTCTATTCTTAATAGTTATCATTGCCGTGGGAATCTTGATGTGCGTTTGCGGCAGTGCGGTGCCTGCGAGCAGCGTTCCCTGGATATAAAGTTGAATGTATAAATAAATAAATAAATAAACTATAATCATCTTCTACTCAACTCTTTCCTCATTCTATTCTTAATAGTTATCATTGCCATGAGAATCTTGATGTGCGTTTGCGACGGCGCGTGCCTGCGAGCAGCGTTCCCTCTGAGCTGAGTTCGTGTGAGAACTGGCTGACAGTCGTTTAGCCTCCAGCTCACACCTTTTCTGCCTTCGCTCAGGCCAGGGGGAGGGCTCCAGAGCCCACGAATGGATGCCACAGCCAACATCTCTCCCTCGCAGCTTTAAGGCCAGGAGCTCACAGAGTAGAATTTTGGCTCACGGGACCCCACAGCTTAGAGGGGCGTTGCTCCAGAGCAATGTTCCCTCTAAGCTGTGGAGTCTTGTGGGCAAAAATTCCACTTTGTGAGCTGCCGGCATTAAAGGTGTGAGCAAGCAATTTGGCTGCTGCATCAATTTGTTTGCTCTGGAGCCCTCCTTCCTGAGCCGAGACAAAAATGTGTGAGCCGGAGGCTAAAAAACTGTGAGCTGGCTCACACAAACTCAGCTTAGAGGGAACACTGCTCCAGAGCCAGCCACTTGATGCAGCAGCCAAATCCTGCTCTGGTGCCAGGAGCTCACAAGGCGGGGGTTTCTGCACGCAGGACTCCAGAGCTTAGAGGGAGCATGGCCTGCGAGTGCTTGGCATTCCGGATTCAGGTGCGCGGAGGAGGAGGACAAGGAGATGTGTTCTGGTGGTGCACGATATGAATCCACAAGGGTTAAGCTGACACTAAATATTATAAACATACACAATTTATTCAGGTGTACACATGTGTACACCTGAATAAATTGTGTATGTTTATAATATTTAGTGTCAGCTTAACCCTTGTGGATTCATAGCAGCTTTTTGGGTTGAGTTTTCTTTCTCCCCCCCTTTCCCCCCTTTTCCTTCCCCCT